TTAATTCCATTACATATAAGAATTTGTTTGTTTGGATATCTACTTCTCGTTGGCTGTCGATTACGAGGAGAGCAGCAAGAGGGCCGATGATTGCTCCGTGCAAATCTACAATTTGGTGTATGCAGTGTCGTTTGATTATTATGGTCTTACTACACGGAAGTAACTGATGTCGGAAATTTTCATCATAGATATGAGCATAGATATTGACAAGAAACCGTTTTCATATGCGTACACCTCCTTTTCGGAAACTGTCATCTTCAGAGAAATATACTTGCTTGTAGATATATAATTTATGGAATAATGTATACAGTTTAATGTTAACAATGGCAGAAATAATAAATTGTTTTCACGAGGTTACGTATTGGTCATACTCGTATGACACATCAACATCTGCTGGGAAAAACCACACGAGAGGTATGCGATGTATGTCGAGATAGAGTCACTGTGGACCATATCTTAGTAGAGTGTCCAAAATACGCAGATCGGAGGAATGTGGCAGGTATGAGTGGAAACATTACTGAAGTCTTGGATGGGGGTGAGGAGAGTCTGAGGAGGGTGATGGATTTCCTAAAAAGTATCAATTTGTTTAGAATGCTTTAAATAAGAAGTAACGATTGAAGCAAATAAATTGGGCGTAAGACCTTTGTTGTCGTTGCCTTAAAAAAACTAAAAAAAAAAAAAAAAAAAATTACAAATCATATAGTGTCGTTACTCTTCATCCGTTTAGTGTTGTGTTTTTTGACTGCGTTAATTTACATGCGTAACCATTTGTTGGCATTCCTGGCATCGAGTGTGGAAGTAGGTAAACTTCAATTTCCTATACTTTCAATTAGCTCTCTGTTTTTTGCCATAAACCGTAAGTTTACCATCGGTAAACATGTACAAGTGTCATAACCGCACTAAACGAAAACTTGTAAGTGAAACTTACAATTCTTGATTAGGGTACTTACCTACCGCATTTACATATACGTATTACTATGTTACCTACCAAGCCATAAAGTGCTTAAAATGGAATTTGCACAAAAAATATGCCTATCATTCTAACAATTTAATTTAAATTTAGAACTGTCATTGCAAATTAAATCAATTCCACCAACCAATTTTTAGTGATATTTTTGCCGGCCTAGGCCAGCAAATCATAACTTTCTGGACTAATTTGGCTACAGAAAACAAAGCTTTGAAGCAGGGAGACACAAAAACTTTTTTACGTCAATTAACCGTATTAGTTTTCATTTTGTTTACCTAATAATAAAGACGGAAAATTGGAAAAATAAAACCCGCATCTTTTTCAATAATCTGTGATGTCATGGAATTTTATAATACAAAAACTACGCTAATATCCGACATGCATGCCATTGAATGTCTGCTATGAAACAAATCATATTCTATAAAAAAGTAGTATATTTAGAACAGCGAATTCAACATAAAGAAATACCAAATTACTAAAAACGGTTTCCTAATATAACAATTTACAATAAATGTTCGAATAAGTCACCATTAACTGCAATACAGTAACCAAGTCATTCATAAAATCCATTTCGAACTACTGCTAATTGATAACTGGATATCTTTTTGTTTTAGAAAATTCCATGGCATCGCAGATTATTGAAAAAGATGCGGGTTTTATTTTTTCCAATTTTCCCTCTTCCCCTTCTCTATGAAAAAAATTGAAAACTAATACGGTTGATTGGCGTATAAAAATTTTTTCTACAAACAACTTTAATACATTTTTGCTCTAAAATAATTTGGGGAGCCAATAATCGCATGTTATCGCATAGGTATTATCTTACATTGAAATCGCTATGATGCGTTACGCAAGTCACAACTCAGTATAGGGAATAATACCACATATACTCTATAAAAAATGAAAAACTATAGATACTTTCATTGAGTTACCTACCGAAAAATTTTTATTTTTTTCTAGATACAAAGCATAACCTATATTTCAAATTTGAGTGAAATATCTCAAAATCTGCAGGAGATATAAAGAGAAAACATAAAAAATCTTGAAATGTTAACACCCTGTAGATCGGTAACGAAGCGCTATATGTTTATATGAACTTTTAGTCAAAAATAAGCCACAGAATTAGCTTCTTCTGTATTTACATCACCTTTAGGAACACTCTTTATATAAGCAGGTTCATAAATTTCTTTGAGTGCACGAGCTGCTTTGTAATCGTTATTATAATGAGTACATACCTATACCTAGGTACCTACTTATGCAGGAGGCAGGAGTCCAACAGGAAATCTGATAAACGAGCAAAACTCGTATACCTATAGGTATAACTATACAGGGTGGTGACTTGCGTAACGCATCATAGGGATTTTAATGCAAAATTCATGCGATGCGATTATTGGCTCCCCAAATTATTTTAGAGCAGAATTGTATAGGTTTTTTGTACAAAAAAATTTTTTACGTCAATCAACAGTAGGTATTAGTTTTCAATTTTTTTCATATAAAGAAGGAAAATTGGAAAAATAAAACCCGCATCTTTTTCAATAATCAGTGATGTCATGGAAATTTCTAAAACAAAAAGATATCCAGTTATCAATTAGCAGTAGTTCGAAATGGATTTTATGATCGACTTGGTTACGGTCTTGCAGTTAATGGTGGCTTATTTCCATGGCATGACGGATATTGGCGTAGTTTTTGTAGGTATTATAAAAATCCATGGCATCACAGATTATTGAATAAGATGGGGGTTTTTTTTCCAATTTTCCGTCTTTATTATGCAAAAAATTGAAAACTAATACGGTTGATTGACGTAAAAAATTTTTGTTCTACAAAAAACCTTTAGGTAGGTATACAATTTTGCTCTAAAATAATTTGGGGAGTCAATAATCGCATGTTATGAATTTTACATTATGAAATCCATATGATGCGTTACCCAAGTCACCACCCAGTAGGTATATAGGGAATAATACCACATACATCATATACCTATATGTGTGTTTGCGATCTTACTTTTAACTAGAGGTATAAATTGGCTTTTACTTAATTGTAATTGCTCATTACAATCTATGTAATGCATATACATAGGTATATCTACCCAGGGACGGACCTAGACAAAAAAATTGGGGGGGCAGACATGACATTTTGCCAACTCAACTGTAAAAATTTCCAACTCAAACGGAGTAGTATCTATTAAGCATTAAGTGGTATTTCCAAGTCTAATAAATCACGTAGAAAATGTAGGATATACGGTCTCTAATACTAATTAAAAGCATTACCAAAATACCAACCTTGTGTTGAAGAAGAAGGAAGTGACTTTCCTATTAAAGAGTCCTTTTTTTTATAGATTTTGCCGCAATTCCCCATTCCTTCAATAGTCGATTTATTATACATTTACGATTTACCTACTTTCGCGGCATTCGCCAACTGGTAATGAAAATGACCAACTCTTGTCAAAATTGCCAACTAGTTAAGTATTGGAGGGGCAGCTAGCCCCCCCTTGCCCCCCCATAGATCCGTCGCTGTATCTACCAGGCAATTTGGCATGGCATATACCAATCACAGTATAGGTACCTAGTACCTACATTCAATGGTATGGCAGCATAGATTGCGAGCACGCGTATATATAGGCATAGGTATAAGTAGCCTATATAAATAGAGGTACCTAAGTACATCGAGTATGTCTTTAATCTTAGTTCATTGTGGAAGATGATGGTACCTACCTATAATACTAGGTACTTAATACCTAATCACACAACTAGTAGGTACTTAAGATGCCGTCAATTTTAGGTAATACTTATACACGTAGGTATAAACCACCAATTGCAATGATCAAATGGGTAGGGAGGGTATACCTACATACATATATAAGGTATAAACTTCCACCTACTCGAGTTCAAGTTCACCGTTTTAAGAATTATCAGTGCCATAAAAATGCCATGTATCTAATTATACCTAATGCAAGCAAACAAATAATGGCTCCTTAATTATCTCTTTCCCAAGTTTTGTAAGGCACTTGATGGGGTCTGTATGAAACTATAATGACGACGTATATATAAGTATATAGGCCTAGGTAAGAAAATGATAGTTATACCACAGATTTAAATCTGTGGTTATACATTCAATGTAGGTATACGTACCATAGAAATTTTTTAATAATAATCGACATATAGGGAGATAAATTTGTACATAACTAATTTTATAGGTATCACAAACTTATTCACACTCGGCACACGTCAGATCAATAATTAAACAACTCTGAGTAAGTAGTCATAGGTTATACTATACGGGTAGAAATACTATATCTACCTAATTATATAAACAGCTCTTCAATTACAGATTTCAGCGTCGGAAGGCTTTATACCTAACATCCAAACGCTAGCATGTGAATCTGCGCGTCACTGCATGCATCGAGAGCGTCAGATAACGCCATGTTGGACGCCAGCCCCACCTCTATTTAGTACTGGTTGATATACAGTTATCTGAATAGGCGGAGTTTTCCTATTTTCTCCTTTGATTGACAGTGCTTGATAGTATATGTTCAAGTTTTTTTTCTAATACCTACTATTTATACACATTCTGTTTTAGACAATTTCATGGACGATTTGATATGAGGAACATTGTAGTCCTTTGATAAAAGGGTGAAGTAAATTTTAAAAACGCTGATAAGTAGGTGTATTAATGACACCTTTATCTAATATCTGTAGGTAAGTATATTTATTATAAAAATTTGTGGTTAAAGTAGCGTCTGCTATAGAAAATTGTGAGAACATCTAATGCCTTTTCATGAACTGGTGTGCTTCCGTATAAACAGCGTTTTGAAATCCCTTTTTACAATTTCTTGTAAGGTATAGGTATAGGTAAGTTTTGCTTGTTACCTAAAGTAGATAATAAAATAAATAAAGGTAGGTACCTAATAAGGTAAATGACTTTCTATACTTTTACAAATTGTAGAATTAAGTTTCGTTATTATTAACGACAAGTAGCACAAATAAATTGCAAGCCATCGCAATTTGAATAAATTAAAGTTAAACCAAAACGTAAAAAGAAACGTTTCTGCTTGGACTGGAAGGAAAATGGGGTTTTTGCACAACAAAAAAGAATTCCGGCGCAGGAAAATGCTTTACGTACACTTTAAGAGCGTAACAAAAAATATTAGGTAGAACTTAGCAAAATAAGCACAATTTCTTTTAGCTCGACGTATGCTATTTTTAGGTTTTTCTGTGCGAATGCGGAAACTTAGTTATCTAGGGGTAAATAGTTCAGAGTCCTGCTGTAGATGTGAAAATTAACATACCATAAATTAGAAATAAACACAGGATCCTATATCAATAGGTATGAAACATGTAAACTGTAAAGCAGTCATATTCCTTTGACTTAACGCCTTTAAAAGCCCCGCCTACCATCAATAGATCCTAAAATATGACAGGGAAAGCGACATTACTATCTCGAGTGTTCAAGGGAGATGATAAAGCGAAAACATGACATATGCACGCATGCTCTTTGAATTACATGCGGGGGCGTGATCATAAGCTACCAAACTTTCAGTGTTTCTGATAAGAGTATAAAGTTGGGCAACGTGCGAGAGAGTGAGCGTATATGGGTATTCAGGATGTAAGTTGGAAATAGTTGCGTCGGAGAGTGGCGAACGTTACCGAAAGGACAATGGGAGTCCTGTAAGGGTCGGCCCGCGGCCCTGTGATGATATATAGAGTAGGCGACTTATGGTTAAACCGCGCTGGGAAGTGGCCCAGATTACAGGGACTTTACAGTATCAAGTCCTAACCCGATATCTGTACGGCCGCTAAGCGCTTAAGACTTTTTAATACTTTCATAGGATTTCGTGTAAAACCGCCTGATGCTCCTGTATTTGCACTGGCAGTGATTTGTAAGATATTAACGTCGCGGACACGGAACCGTTTTGTTGACAACGTGGAATTTGATGTGGATGAATCGCGGATTTAAGGACTCTTTCGGATTTTTCTATCGGATTTATACGGTCGTTACTTCATAAACTGTGATATTTAATGGTGATTGTTCATACAAATTGAGCTACCGGAAAATCTTCCCTTATCAATATTGGAAGGCAAGCATGGTATGTTAGAATGTTTTGTTTTTTTTTCGATTCCGCCGTATACCCCAATAATAAAATACAAGATATTTAATTTAGCAAGAGAGTTGAAAAAAAATCAGGCCTAAAAATATTCCCTTCTATAGCCATTTACTTGTCGGTAATTGATAATTAACTTAAATAAAATACCTATTATTGTTATCGGTAGCTAATGCGATATTTAATTATGACATAACGGGAAATATCCGCGCCGAACTCTCAGTTTCTATAGAAAAGTGCCCTCAACTTAACCCGCAATTTGTTTTACCTACCCATATCCGTGTTTATTTAACACATCTTAGCATCACATTTTATGTATACCTATCGAATAAGAAATAAGAATGTCAAGTACTAAAAATAGTGCGCACTCGATCGTTGTAGTATATACACAAAATCGCTAAAATCAAGTAGGTAGGCAATCCAGAAAATCTCTAGGATATATGTAGAAAAGCTTATAAGCTTTGAGCAAGTCCAGAAATCCTATGCGATCCGGGCACTTCATTTCAAAGCTCCCCGACTTAGCTAGTGATTTTCTCAGTTATATTACTTAAGTCTCCTTATTGCACCATCGCACGTGCATCACCCGACATATTGCCCTGCCATAATAAAATACGTAGACCGCCAACAAAAGGAGAACAAATCGAGTAAAAGTCAAATTATAAATGCAAATGAGAAAATAAATATCGTGAAGTGATTGGATGAAGGCAGTGTAAAATTAGTAGGTGGGAGACAAAGAGGGGATGAAAAGCTCAGGTTTAGTGTCCGCAAAGCTTTCGTACCAACGCCGGCGGCTCCGTCGCGACGCTCTTTATCCGATCTAAACCTGGCTAAAGCTGTTTTTAAGCTCCGTACCTTTTTTTCATGGACTTAACCGACTTTTGCTCTTTGTTCACGTCGCACCTGGATTTACTTACGATCTTTTAAGTTATCCGGGACACTTAGTGATTTTCTAACTGATTTGTGCATCTTTAAAAGGATTTTCTAGATTACTTTAAAGGGTTTGCAAATTAATTCGAGAACTTTTTCCTTTTAAATACACTCAAAGAGCTTTCAATTTAATTTAGTTTTTTGGAACACCTTATTTGCAAACGTCTTATACAACTTTTTGTTACAGGTGCTCAAATTATACGAACGGGTGCAATAATAAAATAAACGTTTCCTTCACGTATCTATATAAGAAAAATAGTCAAGCTGTATAAATACATAGGAATGGAGCGAATGGAATCGTTGTCGGATCCAGCGTTGTGTCTTCAAGACTTAGTTACGGGAGTCACAACATCATCGGCTGGTAGTGATTTACACAACGTTCATCACCTACACGATTCCGTTGCCACCGCTTCCGTAAGTTCCGCGATTTCTGGTATAATGAGTGGTGCTTCGGCTTCCGTATTAGGCCATCACGTTACGTCTCACGATCCACATCATCATGGAGTGGTCCACCCGCCAAGTTTACACCACGAACCGTTGGAGAAACTTAAACGTGGTGAGTTCGTAGATTTTTACTATGCGGGAAAATGATCGCAGCTATTATTAAACTGATTTTGGCAATTTGATCATTATTTATATTTTATAGGTATAATAAGTACCTACCTACCTATAGGTAGATACCTACCTAACTTTTTAACGATAAGATATAAGTAGGCGCTTTTTTCCCAACTCAATTAAAATAAATTTCCATAACTTTTTAGAACAGCTTGTGCGTTTTTAAATAACCAAAGTTGTTGTGATGGAATTTAGATTCTGGTATATATACCTACTACCATTGAATATACCTACCTACTACTACAAAATATACATGTAAAAGTAACAACAATCAGGAATAGTGCAGGTAGTTTGTAATCTACAAAAATGAGGAATTCCGCGCGACGGAAACTCAACTGTTTACTGGGTCATGGGAATAGGTATACTATACCACATAATTTTGCCTATGCAAGTCTATAGGTATCACCACTGTTTTTAAACTTATTATATTTACATTTATTTACATAGGTAGGTAAGTAGGTATCTTAAAGAACTGTTCGCTGCCACCACCGCTTTCTGTAGTACCTACCTGTCTAGGTAATAGGTATGCAATTATGCATGTAAAGAAATTTTACCTAATCTGATAATAGTGAATTGGATAAAACATGATACTGATGATTATACATCTTTAAATGTGTTTAATCATTCGTTAATCTTCGGTATATGCGTATTTTGCCAGTTTTCCATGTATGGTTTTGTATTTAATAACAAAACCCTTCTCGACGCAAAGACAATAAACATAATCATTAATTTTTTGTTATTGTGATTTTTGTAAATAACTATTATAAGTAAATGATTTTTTATCAATAAAAACAAACAAACAAACAAAACAACCAGAACGCGTTACGCGTCAATTTCTGATGGTGAATACGACATCGTCGGCATCGTCGAAACAGCTCTGTCCCCAGAGGTAAAAAACTCAGAACTTGTTCCCAACAGTTAGGGGAGACTAGGGATACTTGATACAGAAGGAGACATGATACACGTTCAAATTTCCCGGTTGGGAAGGTGTTGTAAATATTTAAAGACCACCAATCATTAAGAGGTGGCGTTACATGTAAATCACCAAAACTTTGATGAAATACGGCCATCATTGACATTACTGTGGCAGTTAGAAGTTTTTTCGCGCCTACGATCTGTATTTTACGTGACGTGTTGGAAGCAGGTACATCGTGTAAGTACTTACCCATCTATTTGCCGGTATTATCATTTGATAGTAAGTTGATATGCTTACATTTTAGTACATAAGGTTTGGTGCAATTGTTATTTATGTTTTACTAGATCGTCATTTTTTGTCGCGGTGTGTTCATGGGACACTTGATACATTATATTACCGGGAGATTTGATACGTAATCAGTGCGGTATTACGTGGGATTGGTAGATGAAGTTCTTGAAGAAAATTTGTTAAGTGTGAATTTTATGCGACGTAAAAAGCCAGGTTATTTTTTTGTGTATCCAGAAGTGCCGGATCAATCATATGTGCCTCTCGCTGACGCGATCAGACTCCCTCCTCCGATTGTCACAGGAGGAACAGCGCGTATGCACCGCAAACTATCATTTCCCGTAAATTTCGAGAAATATCCAACTGTAATGTAGGTGTGGTTTTAAGAGTAATGATTATTGTTTGTTTTGCAGAATTATTTTTGAGTTTTGATTAATAAATCTTATCCTCCAGGATTGTTTTAGTGCATGTATCAATCCTCCCAAGTCATGTATCACGTCTCCCATACCAAAGGAGACATGATACATTTGCAACTTAAAAAAAAAAATTATACCCAAATAACCTTTGCTCTAGTTCCGAAGTACAAACGTGGCAATGGAAGTAAACACAATGAGCTTTGATAATCGCTCTTTACCTTGGAGAAAACTGATAAATAGCCAAATTTATTAGCATTACGGTGTTACATGTATCAACCCTCCCCAGTCTCCCCTATTCGGTTTTTAGAAGTGATCGTAATTTTGACATTATAAACAAAAGGTGGGGTGGTGGATCTTTACTCGCTCTAAAAAGTTATATAAGCTGCAAGTCAATTGACACCAGTGTGTTTTTAGAACTAGTTCCAGAAGTAGACATTGTTGGTTGTAAATGCTATTTCAATAATTTATCATTGATTGTTTTTGTTATTTATATTCCACCATCTATTAGTGTATATAATTTCGAAATGTTCTTTGAAGCATTTCAACGTACCTGCCTAAATTATGAATATTTGTTAATACTTGGTGATTTTAATGTACCGAGTTTTGTTTGTCCTGAAGTTGTTGACTCCAAAAAAGAAATTCTGGTTGATTTTCTGGATATGATTAACTTGAACCAATTTAATTCAGTCAGGAATCATAACCAACGACTTCTTGATTTAGTAATAAGTAATTTGAGTTGTGAAGTATCTCACGACATGTCTCCGTTTTTACATGAAGATGCGCATCACCCAGCATTAACGTTGTCTCTACGACTCAACATGCCTAAACAGCAATTTCCAATCTCTCACATCAAAAAATCGTATAATTTCAAAAGATGTGATTTTTTAGGATTGTACAAATCTTTGTCTGAAATCGATTGGTCATTTTTGCGACATCATGATGATGTCGATGAAGCATGTGCTGAGTTTTATTCAGTATTATATAATGTTTGCGATAAATTTGTACCTAGATACTCACATCGTAAAACCACTTATCCTAAATGGTTTACAAGTGATATCATTTATAATCTGAAGTTAAAAACCAAACATAGGAAGATGTTCAAAAAATTTAATACTGACTATGATCGAAAGGAATTTTGCCGATTACGAAAGTTAGTCAAAGTACAAATTCGTACATCTTTCAATACCTACATTTCGGACGCTCAGAATTCGTTAGTCAATAATCCCAAAGCGTTTTGGTCCTTTATCAGATCCCGTAAGGGCGACAGTAGAATACCTGGCATAATGCACTTAGCTGACGAGACATACTCAACCCCTCAAGACATTGTTAATGGGTTTAAAAATTACTTCTCTACGTTCTATCGAAATCCTGGAGATGCAAGTTCGTCCCCAGTTAGTTGCACTAACGCTCCTTGTATTCATTTACCACAAATTACAGATATAATGGTTAACGAGGCCTTAGCTAAACTAAAAGATAAACAGACGGCTGGTTATGACGAAATTCCATGCTTTCTTGTTAAAGACTGTAGACCAATATTAATTAGTCCACTCTGTACTATTTTTAATTTAGCTCTTAGATCTCAGCATTTTCCCAGCATCTGGTCTATAGCCAAAATTTGTCCGATACACAAAACTGGCAAGCAATCGGACATCGCAAATTACAGACCTATTAGCATACTTTGTGCTTTCTCAAAGGTCTTTGAAATGGTTTTATATGATTTCATCTACCCGCTGGTAAGAAATTATATCTCGCCACATCAACACGGCTTTATGCGACATAGGTCGACGACAACTAACCTCGCTTGTTTTACAAATTATGCGTGTCATATACTGGATAACCATGGTCAAGTGGATGTGATCTATACCGATTTTCAGAAAGCTTTCGACACCATAGACCACTCGATAATAATCAATAAACTAGACAGCATTGGATTTAGTCAATCACTTCTACTACTATTTACGTCTTATTTGTCACACAGGTCTCAATATGTCACCTATAACGATTTCACCTCGGATTTGTATGTTGCATCATCTGGTGTGCCTCAGGGTTCCAACCTGGGTCCTCTGTTATTCTTGATATTTATTAATGATATCGGCGCGTCAATATCTAATAATTTTTTGCTATTCGCCGATGACCTCAAGCTATATTACTCTATATCATCCATAAACGATTGTCTGTTACTGCAGGATCGTATAAATGCGATCTTTAGTTGGTGTATTGCAAATAACTTGCACCTAAACATTAAGACGGAATCCCGTATTATATGATTATACACTGAATGCAGTATCACTAAATCGGGTGGTATCCACTACAGATTTGGGAGTTGTATTTGACAGTGAATTACGTTTTGCTGAGCATGTACGTCAAATATCCAGTTCAGCCACCAAAACATTGGGCTTTCTTATAAGGAATAGTAAAAATTTTACCAATTTACACACCATGTTCTCACTATATTATTCCCTTGTGAGACCTAAACTAGAGTACTGTTGCTTAATTTGGTATCCCATCTATGATGTCCATATCAAAGCAGTGGAAGGAATCCAAAGAAAATTTCTTAAGTATATGTCCTTCAGGGTAGATGGAGTGTACCCAGCAAGAGGGTCTTCTCAAGAACTATTGCTTGAGCGCTTCTCTTTTGAATCGTTAAGTAAGAGACGCATTTCTAACAGCATAAAATTTCTTCATGGCATCATAACCAATCATGTTGATTGTCCTTCCCTACTTGAATCCCTTAACATATCTGTCCCAGCACGCACTTCCCGGTTTCCAAAGACATTCTTAAATCCCATTCCCAAAACTAACATATTATCAAAATCCCCTTCCTTCATAATGTCGCGTAATTTCAACATATACTGTAGACATGCAGACATTAATTTTTCTCCTCTATCTGAAATTTTGAAATTTGTTTAAATTTGTTTTCTTTTATGTATTTGTTTTCTTTTATGTAATGTCATGGTTTAATTTAGTTACTTAATTACATTGTAATAGGTTTACTCTTATTTTTATTTTATCTTGCATATTATCTTTTTGTCTATAGTGCCGCTTGCGCAAACGTAACAAACTTTAATTTTGTTCTGTTATTGGATACTTTGTATCTGTAGAACAATAAACATTATTATTATTATTATTATTAAAACAAACAAGTAGGTTAAGTACACAACCTCGCTATTTTTTGTTATAGCGAAAGCGATAGACCAGCAAAAAGCGTAAAGTACCTACTTATAATTCAAAACTGCTTGCGCTGAGTTTTTCAAAAATTAAATTTTTAAAATTAGTTACACATAGAAAACTATCTCTCGGAGAATTTTATAGTTTTCGCCTACC